TGTAAAACGACGGCCAGTAGACCGGCAGATCTGATATCATCGCCACTGTGGTGGAATTCATTCTTAAAAAATTAAGAAATGTTTTCGACATTTCTTAACATAGGTGTTCTATAGCTCAAAAAAACCGCAATTATTTTCTCTTCATTTTCTATGGACGAATTTTTAATTCGTCTGATAAAACTTTTTTATAATCAAAAAACAACTCAAAAATGCTATTTTGTGCAATTTCATGAGGTTTTTGAATTATAAAAAAAGTTTTATCAGACAAATTAAAAATTCATCCGTAGAAAATGTAGAGAAAATTATTGCGGTTTTTTTGAGATATAGAACTCCTATGTTAAGAAATGTCGAAAACATTTCTTAATTTTTTAAGAATTATTTGAATCATCTTGGAACTCCACAAAATCAAATAAAAATTCTGAAATTATTGTTTCAGACCTGCAATTGTGATCGCGCCAAACTTTTTTTTCTGTAGATCAAGAATTAATTGCAGTTCGGAAATGTTCTGTGGGAGAGCGTGCTATTTTAGAAATTGAATCGTATTTTGCATTGCTGAGGCTTCTCTTCCTTGAATCATTGGAAACATTGTTCAGAGCGAAAAAGATTTGAATTAAAAAAAAAGGAAAAATTTTGTATTTTTTCGCTATAAAAGCTCTTTTCTTGTGAATCCTGCCGAAAAGTTGTACATTGTAGGCAATAATGGCTCCAAAAAAGCACGCACAATGTTTTAAGTTTGATACTGATAATCATAACATTCGTAAATGCGTCAAGGAAGGACACAGGGTTTTTTTAATCCTCCGCGGAGCTCCTGGATCTGGAAAAACGACACTTGCCAAGTGAGTTGATTCATTGAAGTTATTGACTCAGAAGGTACTACTTTTTCTTTTAGGAGCTTCGTCGACATTGCAGTTTCTGAGGAACTAAAAAGCGCGTTGATATGTGCTCAAACAGTGATGGCTAGTCAAATTGCAAAGAAAGGTAAATATTTATCAAAAAAATAATTTTCATTTTGTTCATTCATTTATCATCCATATAAGGGATAACAATTATTATAGTTCGCGAAGCCATACGCAACGATGTACCGCTTATTATTGTGGACGATGAGCACGTCGACCGATTAACAATTAAAACCTTGGCACTGATTGCGACTACGGAGAGCTACGAATGTTTCGTGGCTGAGCCGGATACTCTCTGGAAATACAATGCGCAAATATGCAAAGAGTGAAAAAATTACCATAATAACTATAAATTTTAATATTTTTTAGAAAAACTCAACGAAGTGACACTATTGATATGATCAGCAAAAAAATTGCAACCATTCAAGCGGCCACATTGCGATGGGATCACATTGTAGCTGGTGGAGAATCTAACTTAGAGTAAGTCTTCATATTTATGCATTATTGACTTACTTAATATCATTTTCTTATATGTTAATTGATAAAATTTTTTCAGAGTGTATAATTTTTATGATAATCCAAGCTCATCAGATAGCTACATTGCTCCAAAAATATCGTCACTCACTGTGTCTCAAGAATTTTCATTGGCTCCCACACCGAAAATGACGAGTACTAGGTCATGCGGCACTACCGTTTGCATGGAAGCAAGTGAGTTTTTAAGAATTATTTCAACATAAATTTATTCATTTTTAGTCATTCATGAAATGGCTGACATTGACGACGAGTTCCCCCATTGTGGCTTCTTTCTCGGTGAAGAAAAAACAGTCAAAGCCAAAGATATGACTAATATCTCGATGGTCGAGCGATGCGAGGAAACCGAAGATGTTCGTTTTTCGGCAACCGGAGAACGTAGCGTTCATCCTTGGCCGCCACTAGTAAAGTAGGTTCTGAAATCTTAGAAATAAGGACACATTTTTTCTTCAGGGGTACTTCCGATGACGTTGCTTTTTCGCTTCTCCGATGTACTTTCGGAGAAATTGATCTGGCTGTTTTGCGGCATAACCTACAAATATTTGGCTACGAAATAGCTTTCGAAATATTTAAAATTCTCGAAGGCACATCTGAGAACGATCTTCTACCTAGCGACGATCGATTTTTATTTGAGGAACTTGAGCAAATAGAGAGCTACACTATCCCCAATATAGAAGATGAATTAGAAGCGAGACAATCGGAACGAGAAATGCTTCAATTTCATGAAGGTACGTTTGAAGTATTTAAGGAGTCTAACAGAATATCAGTCTTCTGTCCTGACAAACTAAACAACATTCACATAAAATGATAAAATTTATTTCAGATGAAGAGGCTGACACTGGAAACGATGCACAAATTGCTTACCTTGTGTTCCTAGAATTGAATGGATCAGACGAATTGTCTCAAAACCAGGACGATTTCAATATATCGCGGCTCTCGAGAGCGTTTCCTGATTGTCCTGATGTCAAACAAGTGTACGAGGCCGGTATGAAAGACTACGAAACCGTACGCGAAATGCTTCGTGCTATGGAATATCAGGAATTCCCACTCGAACCGATCGTCCCACAAAAATCTAGCACCACATACAGTGGAACCGTAGCGAGTTCCAGTCCTGTACGCAGTGCAAAACCCATGAAAACAAAAAATAATGATAATCACTTTTTGAAAAAACAACCCAATCGAAAGTGAGTCTAATCACAGCTAAAATCACAATTTATTGTCATCTTCATTTCCAGATCTCATCAACCGCTAAAAGAAGTTCAACGAGAAGCTTTGGAGATGCGGAATAACATTGGAAAAAACGTTTCAAATCAAGCATCGTTAGTTGCAAAGCAGTTTAGTTATTCGGCTACATCGGAGAGCGCGACGCGAAGAAGGGAACAGTTAGCCATTGAAATTGGGCGAATCGACCAAAAAATCCGTTGTGCTCATAACAATCCGTGGAACCTCGATTTACATTATATGTCGGTGGATGGAGCTATTGAGCTGGTTTTAGAAGCGATAGAAGCAGTCGAGTATCTGATAAAATATTGTAAGTTAAAACTTCTAACTATTTTATCATAGCATCACTAAAACATTGTAAACCCAAAAAATTTTTATTGTAGCACCAGAAAAATTTCCGCGACGCATCACAGTCGTGACGGGTTCTGGAAATAACTCGAAGGACGGTGCAAAGATTAAACCACAGGTCATCTCGATGCTCAAATCTAGAAGAATTTCGTTTGGTATGCTGAACGATGGATGCATAGAAGTGAAATTATAACAAACACTGTTGGACAGAATACTTGAAAGAACATTTCCCTGACTTTGTTATGTTACCTTTTTTAAATGAGAATTGACTCTAGTAATTATCCCATTCCTCTTCCAGTGCCTTACCATTTGCCGTGGTTGATACAAAAACTGGTTCACTCATTCCCATTTATCAGATCTTTGTGTATAATTTCTAGCCACTTCAGGAACAATTCGAAATCAGGTTGACTCATATTACCTCACTTTCTTTCTAAGCTTTTCATGTTCTGTAAAAAATTCCACATCCTGACATGTCACTTTTTTCTCTGTAATAATTGAACTTTCTCTTTCATAATTTTCTTGATAAATATCTTCTAGGTTTGCCTCTGTTTTATTACATTTCAAGTCTTCTGTTTTAATAGCTAGAGTGAATAAGCTCAAAAAATTGAAAGTTGACTATGGGGGCGAAATGGGATGATCCCCACTTTGGGGTGTGGGCGGGTCCGTTAAATTTTCCCGTCAATTTAGTCAAGTCAGTTTAGTCCGTCACTTAAAGGTGGAGGGACAGGAGATTTTTCGTAGGATTTTTGTAGCTAGGGTATGCATTCTACCGTTACGGTGTACAACGCTTAATGTCACTCTGCGTACAGCGGTCGTCCTCACCTTTATGTATGCATTTTGGCGCCAGCTGCCTTTTTGCCCGTGTGGCTCAGTCGGTAGCGGCGCCGCACCGTCAATACTTGTCTCGACAAGTTCAACTCCTCGAGGAGCATATTTAAACGGAATTTCGAGAACATTATTTTTTTCATGTCCCCCCACCTTTAAGTGTCAAAAATCGGTGGTTTTTGGGAAGTGTACTGAAATTCGTACCCTGCAAAACTCTGCGACTATCCAACCGATCATAATGATCAATAAACCAAAAGGTTTGTAATGGATTGTTCTACAATTCCTCTGTCTTCGATTTTTGATTTTCGTCTTTGTTCGGATGTTAGAGGGTCAAACAGTAGTACATCGAGCGATTTCGCACTTTGGAGACGAATTCCAGTTGGTTAAAGGTGGCCTTTTTGCAAAAAGCAATCAAATATCAAATTTCCCATGTTTTCTAATATTAAGGTAACTTAATTTGCTTATAAAACAAAAAGAGTTGCTTATAAAACAAAAAGAGTTGCTTATAAAACAAAAAGAGTTGCTCAAAAACTCGGAAAATCTAAAAAAGTTTTTCAAAGCTTCATATCTTGCTTGATAGTTTGAAATAAGTGTTGAAAGTTATTACAGACGATCTCGGATATGATTTCTATCACTCATAAAAAATCGTCTGAAAATACCCATTTTTGAAGGTTTTGAGACGTTCATCCAGTTTTCCAATCAAATCTGTGAAAAAATGCAGAGAGATAAAAGAGCGTGAGAGATGAAGAGACGCAGAGACATTTTTTTCTGTAGAAAACTATTTTTCACCTAATCGTATCTACACACCAGGGGACACTTTTTACGCTGAGCTTTTTTAGAAAATTGTCTCACACAGTTTTTCCGTGACATTTCAAAGAAATAAGAGCCAATAAAAAATGAGAAACGTGGATTCACTATAATTCGCATGATGCGAATTATAGTGAATTTATTCCTCTCAAAAGATAGAGAGAAAGTACCACAAAAGTCGAATCAGTATTAAATACAAAAAAAATAGCAACCTAAATCGGGAATACTAAAAACAAGGCCCCTAAAAGTAAAACCAGCCATTAAAAATTATTTTCAGCTTCTAAAGTGTAGGCTTAGCCTTTAAAAAGCAGGCTTACGGCGCCCATACATAAAAATCAGACTTAGAAAAAACATTCCGTAAAACCTGTATTAGAAGAACCCCTTTAATAGAAGGGTCCCTCTAATAGAAGGGCCCTCTGTGAAAAATGACCCCTCTTCAATGTGTTTTGGAATAAAAATTTCCGTAACTTTTCAATGGAAAATATTCCACAAACTCCACAAGTCAATAGAACTTTGTTGAAATTCTATTTTTCGATGAAAATCTTGCTAAATTTTGGTGAAATTGGCAGATTTTTGAACGAAACTTCGTCGATTTTTTTAATGCAAAATTTCGGAAAAAACTAGCCAGAAAAATAGAAGGACCCCCTCTAATTGTAGGGTCCTTGTAGAAGAAGGACCCTCTGGAGGTACCTTGGAACAATAGAAGGGCCGGTTCTTCTAGTATAGGTTTCACGGAAATGAAAGTAGGCTCAGTCCTTAAAAAGTAAGCTTAGAACCCTAAATTACTGTATACCTAAAAACAAAGATATCTGAAAGTCAAATTAGAAGTTCCTTCAGCTGTTAAAAAGTATGCTTAGAGCTTGAAAAGACATTTACAAAATGTGGAAAAATCCCTAGAAAATTCTGAATATCTATGCAAAAAATTCCCTTTTCTGGTAATACTTGAAGTTTGTTTTCTAAGTTTTCGATTCCCAATTTTATAAAAAAAATTTTTGAATGTTCATTGAACATGTGTCTCTCAACCGATTCCGGAATATTTCTTCGAATTTATGAAAGCTATGTTTTTTCTAGTTTAGAATGCTCTAAAAACTATCCCAATAATTTTTTAATGTTCAAATTAGCCTTTAAAAGTATTAAAAAATCCCTATGAAATGCCTATTCAGGAAAAACAATTTCTCCTTCTTTTTTCTGAACCCTTTTTTTTTCAGTTTCGGAAACTCCAAAAACTACCCCAAAAATCATTTGAATTTACAATCAGAAATTCCGAAAAAAAAGAAAATGTTTTTTTTTTGAAAACGTGAAGTATATAATAACCATCGAAACTTCATCTAACGTGCTCCCGATTAGCCTAGTGGTTAACAGGGATGAATTTGAAACAACCGTCGTTGGTTCGAGTTCTCCCCAGAGCCTAGTGGTTTTTGTCAGAGTACAGTAATCGGGGTTAATCGTGAAAAAAATACGGGAAATGCCCCCTGGTGTGGGGATACGATCGCGTGTAGTTTTCTAATCAAAATGTATCACGCTGGGAGACCGTGCACGAGCACGTTTTCTGATATTTTCAGGAGAAAAACGGACGATAATCAAACATTTTACCAAAACTATCTTGGCATGATGTTTATGAAGATGTGGTTTTGTAGAATTTTTGGTTCCTTCTGTGACAGAGATAGGCGGAGTAGAAATATTGAAAATCCAGAATAAGGAAGAAGAAATAAAGAATTCCGCTCATCTCTGCTCTGTGATCTGGGTGGGAAATTTGGGACAATGAGAACTGGATTCATTCTGAAAATTTCATTCCATATTCCTGTTATATAAAACTATACTATTCTTCTCAACTAGTAAAAATTTGGTATCAAAAAGGGTTCATGAACCATGAGAAAATGTCCAAAAACTATTTGTTTTTTTCTCTAAACAATTTACAGACAATACTAAATTTTGAGATCATTGTTTTGAAGACCCTTAATTGTCATAATACGTAGTAGTTGTGATAGTTCTGATTGGGTGTAGTTCTGATTTGGTAACAAGAAGAGCTGGGTCATTCTTTGAAGCGTTCCGGTGCTCCTTGATTCCTGAAATCTCTGTTTAAAGCACCAGGAGCATCGGTTTTTGATTGTGAAGAATATTCTTGTAAAAGGAGAGTAGCGTGTGAAAATATTCGAAGGGTAGACAATTTTGTGTATTAAGAGTCCTAATGCGGTCACCAACCAAGCCTCAGATTCCAACTTCTGTAGAGATACTTTCTCTAGAATATGAAATTTATACTGTGATAAAAAGTAATTTTTTACCAAATGTCTCATTCTGCGAAAATTCGGTCCGCCAAACAGAGCGCCCTTCGCCTGTCATCAAGCAGGCGTTCAACAACCTATTTTTGAGATTCAATCATCATTCTATGATCTAGTGGGTGTGTCAAATTTTGTTTTCTGGCTATCGTTCAACCCAAATTTTCAAGTCGGTTTTCCGAGTGATTCCGATTGTCCGTCAACGGTCGTAGACGGCCCGTCGGTCTTCCTTCGGCTTGGGGGTGGAGCATTTGTGGTTAAAAAAAACTTTACTGCCACCTGTTGCAGGAATGATTGTGAGGGGAAAGATCATGGTTTTCGTTTCCGGATGTAAAACGTTTCCGCGAAGTTATAGTCCATATAAAACTTTTCTCCAGTTTCCGATTCTACACTTCTCTCGATGAGGCTGTTTATTTTAGTTTGGATTTGTGTTGTTTCTGGTATCATTTCATTCACTTTTTTCAAATGACTCATTAATTTGTTCAGTGACGAGCATTGTCTTCGATGATGACACACATTCAAGCTCTAGCTCTGATGAGTCTTCATATTCATCTGGGCATCATGGGGGTCATGGAAGTCATGGGCATCATGGAAATCATGGAAATCATGGAAATCATGGAAATCATGGAAATCATGGAGGAAGACCTCCAAGACCTCCTCCAAGGCCAACGTCGAAATGCGAAGACGGATGGACAAGAGTCAAAAGACAAGGTGGTGGATGGTGTGTGAAGATTTTCGAAGGTCAGACCAATCAACCACAATCAGAAGCAATTTGCAATTCAAATGGAGCAACATTATCTGGAGTCGAAAGTCAAGAGGAACGACAAACTGTAGCAGAATTGGGGAGGACATATATGACAACAAGGACAGCTTGGAAGCAAGGATCATTGAGATTTGGCATTCAGCGAGGGGATGTTAACAGTGTAACAGTCTGAAAATCATTTGAAGCAGATTTGAAATGTAATGCTTCAAAAATGATTTATAATTTTCAGCCATTCTTTGCGACTGATGGCTTTTCGAATGGTGTAGCTGGGATTACTTGGACGGGGGGAGAACCAAGAACTGGAGAGCCACGGTAAGTGTGCTATTCGAACATAAAGAGTATCCCGATTTATAGATTTGGTTGGTATACTTGTGTTCTCATGTGGTTACAAGTACCAGGAGGAGGTCCAGTTGAACAGAGACGAGACGCAGAGTTCTTTTCAAAAGTTTGCCATCAGACATGGAGCGGAGCATTCAGAGGATTCGTTTGTGGAAAAAAGGCCAAATAATTGTTTTTTTGGTGTTGAATAAAAGTTGTATGCTAAGTCGTTGAGAGTTGACATCTTCAGGAGTAAAAAAAAGCAAAAAATATATATACCGTAAAACCTCTAATANANTGAAAAGACATAGAAATCTTTTGCAATCTTCTCGGTAATCCTAGTAACGTGAAACATGAATGGTTTACACTTGTAATGTTTTGATCTCGAGGTACCTCCGGAATGATGTTACAAGGGTCCTTCTATTTTTCCGGGACTTTTTTCTGAGAAGCATCGCCGAAAATTTTGGTTTATTTTTGTTCAGAACATATAAACGTTTAAATTTCAAATGGTCCGATTCTTAGACTGCCCTTCCATGACAGAGATCCTTTAAATCCAGGTTTTACGGTATTGTATGTATGTATCTGTTTTTATGAGAATGTTTCGAATCTACCAATAAGTATCACAAAACTGTCTGTGATCTACACCATGAATACCGTGAAACCTGTAATAGAAAAGCCGGACCTTCTAATGTTCCAAGGAACCTCCGGAGGACCCTTCTATTAGAGGGGCCTTTTAATTACAGTGGCCCTTCGATTTTTGTTTGAACCGCATGAAAATCCATCAATTTCACCAAAAAAATCTAGCAAGTTTTTGCCGAAAAAACTGTGTTTCAACACATTTTTGTGAGATTAATTTCAGGAACATTTTTCACGAAAGACACACGGAAGTTTTCAATTACAAACAAAAAAAATTTGAAGAGGGCCTTACCGTATTTCTCCAAGCTCTTCCCAGAGGGCCCTCCCATTAAATAGGTCCTTCTAATACAGGTTCTACCGTAATACTAGTTTTAAAACAAGTTTTCCAAATAAACTTATTCGAAAAAACTCTGATTTTTTGAAGTTTTTGATTAGTACAAAAATAAAAAGTTTTAGAAAGCAATATAGCGTTGAAAACTGTCAGTAATGGAATCACTGAATTCTGATAGTGAGATATATATATA